ACGATTTTGGGAACCTGGATTCTAAATTGCCTCGACCTTCTCCTGGTTGTCTATGAGCCCCATAATGGACCGCAGAGCATGCGACTCCTTGGCCACGACCAACTGCTTCGGCGTCTCCCCCGGACCTAGACTCCGGAGATAAATTTCATAGGGGTCGGGTACCACCAGCACTCCAGGACGGATTGAACTACCGCTGTGAATTAATTGCTCCACGTCTGGCAACTCCGGACCATCGTCTTCATCCTCCACTTCCTGTATAGTGGCTTGGAGTCGAACAGCGGGCGGCGCGGGCACTTTCTTGGGTGTCACAATGTCCCTATATTTCGCACGGACCTCCGGAGCGATGGATAATAATTCCTCAGAGGTCAACGAAATATTCGGAGTCTTGAGCGACCGCTCAAACACCAGGTCTGAGATGCGAGGATTATAAACAGGGGCCTGGGTGCGGTAGGCTGGCTCCTTGGCTTGTGACGCATCTGCTGCTTGAGCCGAGCCTTTCTCGACACTCCGGGGAATTGCCTGCCTAGGCCTGTTGACGTCCCTTGCACCGGTGAATGGATGGATTGGTCCCTCTGACATGTGAGGTGGGGACTCTCGATTTATTGCCGGCCGCACTGCTTCGGCCACTGGCTGTTCTCGTACCGGTTGACTCTTGGCTCTAGAGGGTGCGGGACCTGTCGGACCAACTCCGGACTCCTTGGAGGGGTTGGAAGACCTATTCGGAGGAGGAACATAGACTCCGTCAAACACCTGCTTCCCTTTCCCTCTCAACGCAAATAATTCCCACTCCAAGGCCTCAATTCGCTCCCGCTGGTCCAAATGGAACATATCCGTGGTCTGTGGGGCCGCCGACGCTCGCACCTCCTCCCATAGCATTGTGTCCAATAAATGGACGCTTGTCTGCCCAGGGTTCTGGCGATGCCATTCTAAAATGCGGTCCCTCATCGTCGCTCCTGGTACGGACCTCGAGACCATCGCTCCGCCTGGCAGGACCACTTGTCCCTCCGCGTTCCGCTTGCACCGACCGGCACCTAATATCCTCCTCGACCTTGGGACATCTCCTGATCAAATGGTCGTGCTCCCCACAGTAGATGCAGTTATAATTCAGGGGGGCAGGCCTGTTGGACGTCGCAGGAGCCATCGCAGCATTCTGTTGGACAGCGGCTACTAAGGCTTGACTGATGGACTTTGTAATAACCTCCACCAGTGACGACAGGTCCTCCGTTTTTACAAGTGGTGCACTCGGACCGCTGCTGGCTGGCTCCGGACGCTTCTCAGTGGTCCCTATGGCCGACGTCCCATGAAGAATAAACTCCGCTGCCTTGTAAACCTCGTCCACGCCATATGGAGTGTCTGGTTGGTGGTCTACGTCCTTGATCTGGAGTCGCCCGAATATTTTGTTCCACAACTCCGGCTGAAACCCTCGCTGGAATGCCCTCCCCTGCTCTCGAATGGAAATGATGTCGTTCTTGCGCAGGTATCAAGTGATAAGTAGGAAGTCGCGATGAAATGCTGCCAGGTCCGCCAAATTGTGGATGCCCACTCGTTGCCTTTCCCCCACTAGTCGGTCCATATCCCCGACGCTATATCTCTGGTCCTCCTTAACGGCTGGGTATAACGCCAAGACTGCTCCCTTGAAGTCCTCAAAGCTTTTGGAGTCGTCCGAAAATTCCGGGACGCCTTTCCATAGCTCCTCCTCATACATAGGCATGTATTTCACCACTACCGCCTTTTTCGTTGCTTCATTCGGGACCGCATTTGGATAGGCAGCAAGTAAGTCCGCCAGGTCCTCGAAATAGCGGAGTAGGGTCCGCGGCTGTTCCGGATCGAAGCGAGGTGCGTGCTTGTCGTAGCGAGAGGGTAGAGTGTCTGACATTGTGACAGTACCGATGGGAGGCGGCTGAATTAACTCCGGAGTGCTGATATTGTTGGAGGGAATTTCGACGAGGCCGGACGATGATGAGGGAATGGACTCTGAGTGTATTGGTGATGGGATAAATGGATGGGAAACGTTAAGGGCTCCGGACTCCGGGTTGGACGCTGCGCGATGACGACTTTGGACGGTTTTTCGAAGGGGAATGTCTGGGCTGTCTGGCTCCTCGGCGGAAGGTGGAACCGGATCGACTGCAGCAGCTGCGGCTAACGCTAATTGCCTAGTGTGGCTACGAAGACGTCGAGGAGATGGCAGGGTGACTGGGATATATTCTGGGTCCTGCACTCCAATAAGGTTCCTAAGCGATAGGACTGCGGATAAAGTGTTGCCTTCGTCTAAGCGACGATTGGCTTCCTGGAAGAGTCGGGATAACTCCTCGAGAGGACTGGACGTCTTGAAATGGTACCCCCCTCGCGGTGGGCTCCAAAATGATATGCACTGACACACAACAATCGCCAAGGACCCAAAGAAATAAACCTAAACCCCGTGATATGGGTGAAGGCGGTCCGAGACAACTGAAGGGTATTTAATAGTTCGAGGGGGAAAGGAGGAGTAAGACGCCGTAGGGTAGTCCGTAGGAAGACCTAGAAAAATAAAACAAAACCTTGACGCCTGAAACAAACACTAAGGGACGCTCCGGAGTATTTATCTCCGGAAAGTCGCAGACAAAGTTGCAAACCACGAAACCGAGTGTAGGTTCGGGCCCACGGGAGTAGAAATTGCTAGAGACACTTGGTTAATTTTATTTCGCTATGTGAGACTCACCGGAGCTAATTGAATCGATGGCGGAGATAATTCACTCGACGAGTCAGGCCTATTGGCAAAGCTAGGATCGGTTATAATTCGCTAGGTTCGACGCTTTCGAACTTCTCGGGTCGCTGAGATCGTAACACTAATTCTCTGAGATGGTGAAGTCGAAACTTGTTTTTCTGTATGCTACTTTGTACAATTTATACTACAGGAATGGCTTTGCGACCGTTCGGAGATAAATAACAAATAAACGCCGCTACCCACAGGAT